AGGCGGCTGTAAAAGAATGTGTAAGTTTTATAACTATCTTATCTTTCCTTTAAATCGTTTATTCCTTCTTTTTCTTGTAATATTTCTTTTGTACAATTAATTTGAGAATTTATTTTAGCGGAACTGGCAATCTTTGCAACAAATCTTATCCAAACGATATACATGCGAGTTTTCTTTATTTTTTTTCAATTTTTTTTTTTTAGTTTTGTTTTGTTTTGTAAACTTTGTCGCAATTTTATTGACCACCCAACAATTATCAATTGGGAACTTGAACTATAAAGTCATGGTCATAAGCACACTCAAACATCTAAACAGATGAACCATATGTGTGTGCACTTACTTATACCACACAGTGTACTGTGTATTATAAATATACTAAAAAAAAAAAAAAAAAGAAAAGGAGAAAACATACACACAAAAGCACAAATATATCAAGTTTAGTGCAATCCAAAGCAATTCATACATTTACAGAGCATATATACACGACAAAGTAAATAATACTTCTGTTAAATGATTTTAATTAAAACGCAAGAGTATAAAATTCTCCCCGTTGCCACCTCACCACCTTCGCAAACATCGGGCAATTTAAACTAGATGATACGGACACATGAAGCTGCAAAAGAATGGCGCGTAAAGTATTGAGAAGATGTACGAATGCGATACTACTTGAGTTGACTATGTCCAGAGCCATTTATCACTTTGATAAATGTTGCAATACATGCCTCATAAATTCAATAACACGTACCTCTCTTTTTCTTTGGTTTGTGATTTTTTCCACTTTTTGTTTTCTTTCTTTTTCTTTTCCTTTTTTATTTTTTTATTTTTTTTTTTATTTTTTTTTTTTTGTCATTCTGCGTGCGCAGCTTAAATACTCTGCAACATTTTAAAGAAATCCAAACAAACAAACTCAAATGCAAGCATAAGAAATCACACTATTTTAAGATATTTTACCATCTTTTCCTTTAATGTGTATATAAGTGTGTGTGCGTCGCTTGCATTTTGTAGAAATTCTCTTATTTTCATTTATTTTTCGTTTCCGCAAAAAGCGTACACGGTATCAGTGGTTATTTGTTATGTAATCCTTAAGGCTTAAGTGGTGTGCATACATTGAAAGTTTTTCATTCGTACTTAACTCATGCATAACGCATTAATATATATATATATATATATATATATATAATAAAAACAGGGAGTTAGATCTTACTCATGCCGACGTAAAACACTGCAGACCGTGTCACTTACTTTAGGAAAACACTTTCAAGAGTAAGTCGTAAGTTACATAGTTTAGGCGTCATTATTGACAATTGAATATCATACAGGGACTACTTTATACATACACTGAAAAAAGTGGAAAATCACGCGCCACACTAGCACCAAGGCACCAAGGCCGTAGACTAAAGACATTTGATAAACTTTATGCAGAGGCATGCACCACTTTCATTAAAGCTTCCGTCTTAAAAAAGGAAATTTCGACCAATCGATAGGCTTGGGGTATTGCATTTTGATAAGCCTTCAGCGAAGTATATCTCCACTTAATCACCAATCAATTCAAAAAATTCTCACTCTCAAGGCAAAACGAGCGAGCGTCGAAAACGAGAACATAATTAATTCAATTTACGCAACTGTCGATTTTTTATGGATTGAACTGATGAAATGGATAATGGGCAACAAATTCAATCTAGGTCTGTTACTGCCGCTTGCAGTTTTCTCCTGCCGTAACTCTTCACAGTAGTACAGCAATTTTTTTTCTTCTGATTTCAAGGAATTTAAAACTAATGTAATCTGAATAAAATTTTAACATCGATTTTTGTATGCTCTATAGAAGAGCCAAGGTTATTCGGTTTTAATTAACCGCCGAACACTCCGCCAGCGCCCAAATACGACCAAGTGCGCAAGAGCTCATTGCAACGTGTCAGTATGAATTCAAATGACACGTTCATAAAATTGAAAAAACATTTTGAATCTTCAATGACGACAGGTGAAGGTATACAAGATTCGGCATTAAGTGAATATAATTTTTTTTTTTTTTTGGCGGATAACCTTAATTAACGATTATAACTATGCTTAAAGATTTCGTATAGAAAGAAAGAAGGAAATAGAGGCGACTTTTTTGTCTTAGGAGATATTTTGGACACCAGCCAGTTAAGACCACTAACGCTTTGCACTCCTAATATTTTATTTTTTATTTATAACTAACGTCTTAATTAATTCGCAAAAAAAGGAAGAAAGAGAACGCATTTTAAAAACAAAAAAAATATTTAATAACTTTAAACAACATTAGGCCGAATCTGGCCCGGCTTGGGAGTTGGTGAAAGAAATGCTATGTCCCACCCACATTTCTTATAGGAAAGGAAAGGGTTAAGGGTAACAATTATGAAACTTCTCAATTACAGAATTTCTCAACAGACGGTTGTGTCGTCTAAACGAGCATGAAAATTATATTCATCTTAATGAGAATAACGAAGAAAAAAGTTGCAATATCCTATATTAATTTATGCAATCGTCAGAGTTTCAGCTACGAGCAATGGTCTTACACAATCAATCTTAGACAATCAACCGAGAAAATCGGAAAGTTCGAAATCATGGCTTTTCCTATCTCTCTATTAAATTATTATACTTTTTATTCTTCCCACTTTCAGGCATTCAATGTTAACTTTTATTCGCATGTGTTATGTTAATTACATATATTTTCGGCTTTGGATATATTCTGGCAAAACATGTTTTTAAGTCAAATATGCTTGAGGATCAAACAGCGAAGACGATACTGGGTCCAAATCAGCCTCTGCGATGTCCCAGCAAATCGGCAAATTGCTTGTCCCAACCTAACTAAAAATGAAAAGATAAAACAAATAAAAATAGACGTAAAAGTAAAAATAATAATAACCACTCATTTTTCTTCTGACAGGAAGACCTTGTTTATACCAATGTTACTTACACAATATGCGCCCGACCTTATATTGTAACGCCATACATTGCATTTGTACACTGAGATTACTAATGCGTTTATTATCACAAATATTTTATGAAATACATTTTATTCAACTTCTACATTTATTAATTAACAAAGAAGTAAAAACACTATGGTGGGAAAAGGCCCATCATTTAATACCCTACATCACCTGCAATTATAGATATAACGGCTTTTTAAAATAAGCCGTTGTATGAGAAACGGGCCAAAAAAGTGATCCGATACGAATCATTTCAACCATTTTCAATAGCGCTCTTCTTTGAACACAAAAACACCTCAGCGTAACGAACTTTATCAAAATATCTTAATAATTGCGACCTGTAGGTTGAAAACGACACGACAAGCAGACGAACAAACATCCTTAGTTCGATTCAGAAAGTGATACTGAATCGATCGGCACAATAAAAGGTGAATCCACATCAAATCCTCCCGCACAAACTTGCACCATAACTGATGCAAGCCGTAGCTAAGAAATTAAAATTTTTAAGCTTACCATCCATTGTTGTTGCTCTCTTCACTAAGTTTTATTTATAGCCAACCTATCTCAATTACAGCACCTACGAGAATTTCGGAGGAAGAAAGATCAGGATAGGCGCGCACTAAAAGATCCTAGGACACTACATGTATGGGCTGAACAGACTTTCTTACAACATGTAAGTGTAAATAAAATGAAATTTAAAAATAAAATCAAAATTGTTTTTATTTTTTCATTCTTTTACAATAAATAATTAAGTGGCGTTTATTAAGAATATATATATATATATATATATATATGTATATATAAGCATATAAAAATATGGGCCCTTCTGCCCTTTCAAATTTTAATATAAGTAAAATGAAATAAACTTTAAAAGCATTAATTTTCATTTATTTCGCCTGGGCTACGTAAATGCATAAATCCAGCGACGCGAATACTGTTGTTTTTTTTTTTCTCAAAAAGACGATTTAAATAAATGAACCAAAAGCTCGGATTCAGAAAGATCAACTTTATATTTTTGGACTATATCTTGTACTTTTAAACGACGTCGTACGTGAGGTGGTTGAAAACTGAAATGGAATCAATAGAGATGAAGAGAAAAAATTAATAATAACACACGTGACTTCTATTTCACAATCGCATTTACTTATCGTTATCCAGTCTTCGCCTTTTAGCCATGTTATGTGCTGTTTGTCTTACTAAATTGCCAACCACACGACGACTAAGTATCATTCCGTCCACTAGAGGTGTAGCAAAACTCATACGTCCGGTGGGACCCTGTAACTTAACTCTTAAAAGGCCTGACTGCAAAGCATGAAGAAAGATAACGTGAACATCTGTCGCTCGCGGTAAATGTACAATATTAGCTTCTTCTCCAGTACGTGAATAAGCCAACAAGTCCTCTATAATTTTGCCAAAAATTTGATGAATACTTAAATCCGCTATATTTAAACGCATTTGGACACGATGCTTACCTATTGGAAAATGCAAATGATCTTCAAATGATTCGAGCCATACTAAAAATATTTTTGCCGGCGGTTGCGCCATCAATGCTGGCTTCATAGAAGTAATTTTACGCCGTGTGGGTGGTATCGGTTCTTTGCTTTTACTATTAGCCAATTCCAGTGAAAGATTTCTCGAACGTTGCGTTGAATTCTTAACGCTTTCCGTCTGGGGATTGCTTGCTTCATTTTGCCGCATCCAAATGTTCGTTGTATTTGACGTATTATCAAGCGAGGAGCACTGTGATAGACAAGGCCCATCTACTTCCGATCTCAAATTCCATTCGGTTGGCACAACAAATGCCATCTCTGAGGAAACGTCAGCCCAATATAAAACTTTGGATTCTCCATTAAATTTGATGTCTTGTAACTGAGCATGATTTTGATATTTTGTTGCATTCTTTGACACATTATTTTTCAAAGACCACGAAGTTCCTAAGAAACCCGTCCATCCCGAATGCTCATATATATCAACGGGCCAGCCTAAAAGAAATTTTTTTTTGTTTGTTTTTTCGTAAAATATTTTAAAAATTCATTACATATAGCATTAAAAAATTTTCTTACCCAAAGTCAGTAACATATTACCAAAATGTGGATCCAAAGTGTGTACATTCTCATCAGACATGTTATCTATAATTTCGCTGGCCGTACTTTGACCAGCCTTTACATAAAATACATGAACCGTATCGTAAGTGCGTGCACTTAGTTTATCTAATGCGTTCAATTCTTGGGCAAAATTATTTCGTTTTGTATCCAACACAATCAACGGTCTTTGAGATGGAGTACCCAAAGTCTCAGCGGGACTATTTGGATCGCGCTCTTCGAATGTCAGAAAACCGAAATGTGATAAAAATAGCCGAGCCGCTTGAAATTCATGACAAACTGGCGGTGGTACACTTTCTTGAGCATGCGATAAGTTCTCCGTACTATTATCGGTTTCAGCCCAAGCTAATTTTTCGTGTATTGTTTGATTTTCTAGCATAGTTTCGAGCTGTTTTATACTATCATTGCCATACAGTTCACGTATCTGTTCGAAAGTTGGTATTGAATAATCGGCTACGCATGGCGTGACTTTGTCGACACCGTCAGGAAAATTTTTTTGTTCGAATTCTATACGCTGTGGTACATCGTTCATAGGTATCGGACGACCAGGGTTGACGGCATGATATTTAAAGCCAGATTTACTCCGCGGTAAATGGCGTAATTGCATTGTCCAGGCATGACGACCGAAGGGGCCACGGATAAGTACTGAAATATAGTTAGAGTTAAGTAATGAAATTTTGTTAAAATTAAAAGTAAATTCTTTGCTAATTGAATAAGTAGTGAACGTTTTAAAGCATATGTCTTGATATCTTTCCAAAGGAATTTACTAATGTACAGCACAACGTTGTGGGTATCAAAAATTCGTTGGTTCCGTATGTTCTAAATACTCACACGTTACTGTCGGTTGAGGATCTTGATCATTACCCAGCGGTTCCTCCAGTAATGCCAAAATTGTTGAATTTTCGGTTACAAAATACTTAAACTTCGATATTGCTTGTTCGGTGGTTATTGAAGAACCGTTTGTGGTATCCAACGAATTACAATGTTTCATTAGAGCCACTTCGTCCAATAGCGATGATATCGATTCGGGACCGCATTCACTTGGGAAATAACCAACTTGTTCTAATATAATAGTTAACAAGTTTTCAGCGGCATCGCGAACCCGCATTGATGCCGGCTTTAATTCCTTTTCATCTTTAAACTTCGGTATATCTCCAGATTTGCCAACACTCTTCGATCCAGATATCCCCAATTCGACAACTTCCAAAACTGTTTGTAAGCAATCTTTATCCTGCAACAGATACGGATGCTGCATCAACCAGGCCGAAGTGCATTGATAGGCCGCAACAATAGTGCTATGCAAATCTTTACTATGAGCCGGTGGTGGTCGAGAACATTGATAACAAATATAATCACATATCCATTTTACGGCGCGTTTACATTCTAAGGCGTCTGTGGAAATTATCGTAAGATTTTGACTTGGTTCTTCAATTTTAACTAAGGATTCTTTTTTTTTTTTTTTTTTTTTTTTTTTTTTTATTTTTTTAATTATTATGAATACATTTTTTTGGATGAAAAGTGTGGTATGTGGGTACATTGTTTGATTTGGTGATTGTAGGCAAAATAAAATGTACAAAGAAATGAAAAAAAAAAAAACATGAAGAAAAAAATGTACCATTTGTGACCCAGTTCGCAAAAAAAAAAATAAATAAATAAATAAATAAAATAAAATACGTAAATAAATTACATAATAAAAATACATAAAAATTATACGCGATGAGCAAAAGAAATAAAAATACAATTTTCATATTTTATTTACAAGATTGTTGTCAGTGGTAGATAATAAGAATGTTTGTTGTAAAGTGTTACATGAGCAAAAAAAAAAAAAAAATGAAAATGAAAAGGAAAAGAGAAGAAAAGAAAAGAGAAAGAGAAACGAAAAGGAAAACCCATGGTTAGTAATTATAGCAAATATGATTAAATTACCATTTGCAAATTTCCTGGCTGAGCGCAGCATAACATGAAGCACAATGTTATTGGGTGTGCGTTTTGTTAATGACACATGAGATTACGAGACAACCAATGCAACAAATCAACATGTAACGTTAGTTACATTAGACAGTGTGACGATGATGATGAAGTTGTGTGGTATGGTTGTTGTTTATTGTTGTTATTAGCATTTAATGGATTAATGTGTGGCAATTTGCATAAATAGAAAACAGAATATATTACAACCAACCAGATATTCATTCGTTAACAATTCAATTGATTTATGTGTGTAAACGAGTGTGCGGTAAATTCATGAGAGATCAGTAATTATCAAAAACGAGAGAAAAAGAAAGATAAAGAGAGTTGTTGTGAGAATCACATAATACAGAAAACAGAAGGTTTTTCTCAGATAACCTTCTCAAATAGCTTTATACCCTACACCACTACTTATGGTATAAGGGTAAATTAGGTTTACGCGGAGAAGGACCGGCGATGAACCCATCTATCAGAATCAGCTTATCTGTCCGTCTGCCTGTCTTGTCAATGTTTAACCTGGAGTCCGCAAATTTGTTAAAAATTTGGATGAAATTTGTCACACTGGCGTGTGTCGGTGCAAAGTAGCAAGCTACTAAAAAAGGTTCGGATCGGACCAGCTTATCGGTATATAGCGCCTTACTTAGAAACGTATTTTTATTAATAACTGTATGGTGGTGTAGGATATTCTATGGTGGGCCACGACCCACTATAGCCTTTTTACTTGTTAGTAAATAAACTAATATGAAAAAACAAAAACAAGATCACATCTATTGCTTGGCCAAAGGCAATCAAAGCAACGACACAACGGATTATTTTAAGTAAACTTTTGCGAAATTCTACCAATATTTAGCAAAAATCCTTACATATCATGTAACGATGTGACTTTCAATCGGATTTCAAGTGTAAAGTGTTACACAACATAGCACTCAATAAGTTTGTAGGATGACATAAAGACACAAGTTGACTGTAGACGAGTCTATATGCTTTTTAGAGAGCACAAATTTTCCAACGAAATGCATGAAATTTTCATGATGTTCCGACTTTTACAAGTTTACAAGTTGCAGTTCGCTGCAGTGACGCTACACATAAATTCATATTTTTCCATTATTTTACAAAAGTAGCGTCACTAAATATGTCTGAAAATGAGCGCTATCTTAAAATCATATGAGATTCATTGACGGTCATGATATCTATCTATATATGCTCCTATGAAATTATTGAGTATTGAGCGTTATATTATTCTGGGTAAAAACTATGTAGTGTCATTGTAGAAAAATAATTTATTCATCCAAATTTGTTGCACTGTCTTTTAAGTGCAACAATCCTAGTACTCGGTAGTTTTTTGATTAATTGAGTCCCCGTTTGTTACCGTGTCTTCCTTTAACTAATAAATTTTGTTTCCGAATGCTATACGCACTGAAGAAGATTTAAATGTTTGTTCTGAATTAAGATAAATCATACTTTGCTCACATCACAAAATTTGATGTTTACGGATCTATTTTTATTATTTCTAAAGCCATCGTCTGTTAAGGTTCATATCCACCAACGAAAAATGGTGCAACATTTATTTTGTCAAACGTCTATAATAATGCACAAGAAAGCTACAGAGACGCAGTAAATTATATTGCTCTCGATCAGTATCAAGCATGAAGCCCATCTAGGCGCCTTCGATTTATTTCTTTGCAGTTGGGTGCTAAACATTTTCCCGTTCATAAATACGAAGGAATGGACTTTAAATTTGGAGTAAATCGTATAAGCTCTCGTAGACGGATTAATATTGAAAATAGGCGAAATCGGTCGAAGAGCTCGCTCACAGTACAACTACAACTGAGAACATATCTATTTTCAAAAAGCAAAACAATGAGTTTTTTTGCTGATTATTCTATAAATGATCCTATAGTCCGAGAAAGACGGTACGTAAAAGATTCGGTCAGAGCCATATATTATTTTCTTACTCGTAGATTACATACTCGCTGGACTCGAAATGGTTTACCAAATCTGGTTCTATTCTAAAGAGAACGATAAACTATATTCTACCATACGGTAATGGATATATATAGACATGGAAAAACTTAAGACCTGTTAAATAGATCGTATTAGAAAAATTGATAAAATAAAAACAAATAATAATATATTCACATAACAGAGAAAAGTAATGCACAAGATATTTGATCCTTACACCTTGATAAATGAAAAGAAACCCAAAACCAAATCAAATCAGAAAAATTTATTTAAAGTGAAAACAATTGAAATTGAAGAACACAAAATACTTACCGGAATCGCGTATAAATAAACGCGCTAAACCCGATAGCAATTCTAAAGCAGCCAAAGATACATTTAAGTCGGCTTTCCAAGAGGAAATTAAGCGATGACAAACTAAATAAGTGGCGCGCACAAATAAAGCATGAGCATTATCTAAAATGAAAGAAGAAAAATAAAACTATAAGAAGAGGTTCTTGTCGTGAGCAGAGAGTTTATTCTGCAAGTAAGAGTTTAAATCATTTAAAAATAACATTAGTGTTCCTTTTATTATTGAACAAGAGTTTTATTAAAGCCAGGGTGTTATTCTCTGTCCCCATTACAGCACTTAGCACTTAGCTAGTGTACCATATTTGATTTCAAGACAGATTAACAGCCACATCTCGCATAGTCCTAAAATGTATCAATGGGCTTTCCTGCATCAGTTTTGTGACTTTGTATTCGATTCGAAGCAATTTCGGAGAATATGAATGAAAATGAAACCCTTCAGTGTCACTTTTTTTTTTACTAGACAAAGTTATTAATTTAGCAATGCTTTGTGGACAAACATAGGGGGCTATATTCAAGACCAAGTTTACATAGACCAAGAACGTAGTGGAACTGAGAGAGTGATCGTAGACTTTTTGGGAATTGAAAACTCTGACTTGTCTATATTTGCCTACAGCGTTGAATATCTTCAATTCATTTCAAGCTTTCGCTCTTCTTTCAGAGTCACATTAGACATTCTGTAACTCCTGCAAAAATCCATACGCTTGCTACACTTAATCCCCGAAAGGACAACTAGAAGTTTCTTTTTCATATTAAAATAATATCAGAGAGTAGGACTTTCTTTTTTAAATTAAAGTAATATCAGGATCAATTCAATTCGTGTGGGGCAGTTCATTACACCATTGTCGTCTTACTGATTTTAAAGTAATACTAAGAACCGCTTAAATGCACCTTGAGGTCTTGCGTTAACCTGCGGAAATACTCTGAGGACACTGGGACATTTCTTTAAAAATTCTGTTTGACCTGGCGTCAAAAGCAAACATACAAACGAATGTAATAAGGAGATAGAATCCAAAAACAATGAGATCGCACTTTAATGAATACAGGAAAGCCTCGGTTTCATTGTTCAACATTCATTCCCAGGCCTGAAGGCCTGAAGGAAAGGGCGGTCTCACTATGTCAGAGCCCATCAATGTCATGCATACAAGATAAATTTGGGATTACAGTCTTTTTAGCAAAATTGTTTGTAGTAATAGCATTAAAATGAAAATGAAAATAAACAGAAAATTACCATAACCCGAAGATGATTCAAATTCTTGCAATAATTCCAAAGGAAAATCATCGGATATGGTTAAGCTGGGATAATCGTGTTGTGAGCTGTTATCGCGGTGCGAATGGTTATTAGCATTAGCAGTAGCAGCTGCTGCAGTTGAGCCATGACATGAACTACCAGCCGTAGCACCCGCGCTTGCTAAGTTACCAATGGTGGCCGCACTATGAACACTAGAATTGCCAACACTAGCCACGGAAGCGGAACGCTCAGAGCAAGCTAACCCATGCACATCACAACAACCACAACACACACAGTCGCATAAATTCATAAAAAATTAAAAAACAAAGCAAAAAAGAAAAAAATGAAATATATAATAAAGAGATACTTTTGCACAAAAAAAAAAAAAAAAAAATGAAAAGAATATCATAAAATAATTAACCACAATTACAATAAACAAATACCTGAACTTAAGAGATTAGCTTCTGAATTATTTGCGCCATGAGGAACAGACGAGGTAACGGGTACGTTATGTTGGTCACCATTTAGAGACTCGGTATCCTCAAATGTAACGGCATCCTGTACAGTTAATAACAAACCGCCCAATAGCATATGAGTATTTTGAGCATCCGTTTCCACTTGTAAAGCATTCATAAGAATATTGATTAAACGTGGCTTTAATTGTATAAAAGTAACCAATCTGAAATAAAAAAAAAAATAATAATAATAATAAATAATTATTATTGCACAGATCAACAGCATATATAATACCTCTCCGCATTTTCCTCGACTAAGTCTCTTATAGGCAGGGTCTGATAATGCAAAGGTAATGTTAATATCGATAATAGTATATGTATGGCCGAACGCCTAAGTTCGGTTTTATTAAATTGCATAGCTTGAGTTTTTATTTTCAAATCTTTATCGGGCAAAACAATTTCCAAAGCTGCAATAAATGCTGGCAATAAAACGTGTATACCATCCAAATCCAAACGGAATAGATCAGACGAATTTAAAAGAATGCTCGCCAAAGTTTCATCGCATTCTTTCGATTCGGTTATTTTCAAACATTGCTGTAAAGCCATATAGAAACGGGCTAAATAAACTGGTAAAATCTCTTCACCAGTCTTTTTGGCGCAAAATATTTTACACAAAGTGCCAACAGCTTCAGCTCGCCCCGACTCGTACTTATCGATGGTCAACGTAGACGGTAGACTGCTTGAATCATTTAAAGAATTGGGTTGCGACAAGGAAATACTACCTTTACGATTTTCCATTATCATAGAGGAAGGTCGCTTGCTAGCCTCAGAAGCTTGTTCTAAAAAATTTACAATAACTATATGAAGAAAACAAATTCTCTTTATATAATAGACTTGCTTTTCGTATTCATTAGCCATGCGTCACCTCCAATATAGGCGGCTTCGAACAGCCATTCGCCAAATAAATGCAAAATGCTATTACATTTGGGTCGTGCTGTCGCCAGTGGAGGTCGTTGTTCCAAACCCAAAGACGGCAAAGCTGAATATTTATAAAAATAAATAAGTTTAGAAATTGTTTTTGTACAGATTTTGTTTTAAATACTCTTACAATTTAAACTACTGCTGGACGGCGGTCCAGATGTGGGTGTTAATGGCGCAGCTGTTGCAGTATTAGATGATCTAGCGCTAGTTAAACCAATCAAAGCAGCTTTGCTTAGACCTATATCAGTAGTCATATATATGAGTTATTTTCAAAAATTTCCGCGCAACACTCAGCACGCAGTAGATAATAAATATGTTAAGTGTTAAAATGAAAATAAACTTAAGGAGAAATAACTCTCACAAGCATAAGTACATAAAATAAATATCACGAACAATTTTTGAAAATGATGTGAAAAAATAAATAAAAAATTGCAAGAAATCACTTCCTAATTGAAACTTGTTGCCTTGGAGGGATCATTCTATATATATATATAAAATATTTGAAGAAATCTTGTTCGTGTGTGTGTACCTTAAAGCTTGGATACTGATTGCGCAAACTTGTCAATATTAATTATTATTAATTTATCCAGAGAAATAAATTCTGAGACTTAGCATTAGCATCTAAAGCTAACGGGTTTATAGAAACTATACTACACTTGACATTTGAGAGCCCACGACCATTGGATTGTTAATTGAATCCTTTGCCTACTCGGCCATTCGTCAGGCTTTTATTTTGACCCGTACAAAATAAGATAAGCTAGAGTAAAAGTTCAAAAAATTGAAGTAGAAACGTAAAACAAGTTCAGGTCTGACTATAAATGCAATCAGTCCAAAAATACATTAACAATTATCAAAAACGCAAACCGATCTTGGAAGAAGACAACAAATTTTGAAAATGTTAAATACCGGAATACCCGGCAAACCAACGGGTCATTTCACGAATGCAACGGAGGGCATCCCTTTACGAACTTTTTACTGGGACTTCACAACGATTCCAGCAACAGTATAAAGTTAAGATAATTCGCGGTAAATTGACCATCGGCTCTTCGAACTTAATTCAACTCTTTTTTAGCTTTCGTAATGATGATCCTAAGGAATAACATCCATTTGCATTAATACTCCTAAGAGTAAGATTTTTTTCTCAGTCTTGGATTCTTTGCCGATCCGCCCCCACAGACACAACATAGCTATTCCGATTCATAAGCCTAAGCCAATTAAGACGGGATGGTGCCAAAGTAATAATTCGCTATCCAATTTCCGTGCGTTACCCTAAGTGCTATGAGGTCTCAAGTTCCTTTGAAGGAAGCTGCAAGCATCGCACTCCTTTGAATTTGTTAGCGACTTGGTCTTATGAAATTCTTTCATAAACCTGAGAAATCTGAACTTAGGCACCAACGTTTTCAAAATAATAGCCGAAATCGTTTTTCAATCTCGAAAATTTCTATTTCAACTATTCTTTCATTTCAAATTCAAATTCTATTCGTATTAATAGGCCGAGTTTAGATAAAAATCTCCAAGGAGACAATATAAGTTTTTGCGCTTCCATCAGGTATTGCTTACGAAATGCGTTATTCTTAATGCCTATCAATAGCTTTTAAAATATAAGTCCGACTTTTCGTTTTCTTTTTTTTTCCGACTCTGCGAACACTTCCCCTAAAAGTTTAGTAGTAGCAAAAAAAAAAAAAAAAACGTTAAAATCAATTGATGGGCGTTAATTTCGAGTACACGCTCTCACATGAACAAACAAAAATTATTAACGAAATGCGATAAAATGCAAAGATAATAAAAAGTTTCTGAACATCAAATCTCTTTTTGGAAATAAAAAAAATGGAAAATTAGTGAGAAAGCTTTTTTTTAAATTTAAAAGCGAATTATTCCGAAACAGTAACGCGTTATGAAAAAAACATAAAAGTCAAAAATAAGAACAACAAAAACTAAAAGCGCACCCTTCTGTTGGACTAAAGTAGGCGCTACACTAAAACTTTTAGCCAAACGTCTTTGTAATGGCGGTGTAGGTGAATGAGGCAATTGTCCTGATGAATCGGCTACGTTCGTTAAACCAAAGTTGATACTACCAATAACGCCAGCCGATTGACTTCCACTACTTGGATTAATGGTGGTGACAGTTCCTGTAGTTAAATTTCCTGAACTTGTTGTTGTGGAAGGCGAGGAGGCGGCTGCTGTCGAAGAAGAAGAGGAAGTCGAAAATACTGCGTTAACATGTTGATGCCCCATAATGGCATTTAAAGCTGAAGTGGCTGTGCCACTTATGAAATTATCACGTAAAAACTGACTGGCACTGGGTACATGCAAATGTGGCAAATGTGAATGTTGTTGCAATGGCTGAGATGATTGCTGCTGATTATTAAGATTTGAACCCACCATTAAGTGGCCGACATTGCTATTGCTTAAACTTTGTAATGTAGCAGTTGATGACACAGAACAACTGCTGCCGCTGTTGCTGGTGCTGTTAACAACGTTAGTTCCTGTGCCTAAGTGCAAAGTTATATTGCCGTGATGGAAGAAACCAAGATGATGATGGTGATGATGTGCCGTTGCAGATGAAGTTGATAATGCAGAGGATGAATTCATAGCATTACTATTGTTTGCATTATTGGTTGTAGCTTCATTTAAAGCTAACCGAATATCCATTAAATTGGTGACGACATCATCAACCGTGCGTGGAGGTGGTACGTAAATGCCTAATGTGTATATATGTATATATATATATGTATATATATATATATATGTTTATGTGAAAGCATACCAAATTTTAAAATAGCAGATCATAGAACAAAGAATAATAAACATATAATTTATATAAGCATAGATGTGCCGGTTAATAGGGTTTGATATATAATTAAAGGCAAAGGAATATTGATCCTAAACGAACCCAAGCCGCCACGACAATTCGCTTGCATTATGGCATTACTCGACGAAGGCATGAAACCAAAAGTTAACCCTTACGTTGACCCTTAAATTTCAACCTTACATTTCAGACAACTGTAGAATTTCACCTCAAACGAGTTCTTGTTTCGTCGCGAAAGGGCTTGTTATCCAATTCCCTACCTTTTCAAGCCACGGCTAGATCTAATTTTGAGTCAACTTGCAGTAATTTAGCAAGAAATTTCTCCTTCCGAGTTTACTCTTCCACAACTCGTTCTATTCATCTGTTTAAACAAGCAGCTACACGGTTTATTATCTGCTAACTACTGAATGCGCCAGAACAGTACGTTACGACAAAAATTCCATTCTATTTATTTGTCCATTTACTTTAAGTGCAAATATGTCCGCGGGGTCAGTTTGACACATAGCAATTTTGACATGTAACAGGAAAGCTCAGAGTTATCTAACAAACGGTATATAAATCAATCGGACAACCGGCTTTATTAACTGGCACACCTAACAATTACAATAATATCCAAATGATTTTCTACCATACGTCTGCAATATCAGATATAAATTATTAAATTGTTAAAATCGTGAGTCTGCAGAAACTAAGTGAGGTAAATTTATAAATAAACGCGTATATATCTTTCGTTATATATATACGCGTCTATGTAAACATACATATTTACATATACATACCCAGAAATGCATCAACTTGATTTGAAATTCCTTTAATTGCTTTTAGAAAAATTAATGGCAGAATTTGCAAACAGGGATGTTGATAAGTTTCCGCTCCTTTATCATGCGTTAAAGCCCACTGAACAAAATGCGAAGATTTACTTATAATATGAGGTGAACAGAGAGCGGTTGGATTGCCTATAGTGCGCAAAAAACGATACCATGTTTGAGCAACGCAATCATCAGTCATACCCGCCGGAATAAGTTGGGCATCCTCCTCAGCTGAAACGTTTCAAATAAATAAAAACATTATAGTTAAATTTATTTGACATAATACTACTATTAGATTAGTGCTGGAACAAACTTACAGATTTTAAGTTCCGGAAAAGCTGATCCATAGGTAAAATCTAATAGACGTGCCGTTAAAGCTAAATTAACACGATTCCATTGATCTATTAATGCTACCCTATGTCGCCATATAGAACATGATTCTTGTAAAGTTTTCCACAATGATGGTGAAGGGAAACAGCGCACGCACGCCAATAGCCAAACCTCAAACAACACCGATAGAACTCTTTCACATAGCTGGTCACCAACGTCATCTTTAATGGTAGGTGGCGCCAATAGAGTTTCATTGATAGCCAACAGAAACAATAATAAAGCCTCCCATGTCTGCCGATCCATGGTTTGCGATATTTGTGCTGTTTGCTGTAAGGTACGCAAAACCCGATGACATAATACTGCCTGGCGATTAATAGTATCTGCACCTATTCAAAAGTAATGAAACCGTAATCAATACAATTCAATTCAATTAATTGTTTGCGGACTACTAAAGCAATATTGCACAAAGCACCTACCAAGCTCTTTTTGATATACAAATGGTAAGACTTGAAATGAAAATGAAATTTTTAATTTTAACAGCCTAATATTTTGTCTAAAATTGTTAGCAACCTCTAAAACTACTATCTACTTTTACATCGCTAGCATGCAGTAAACCAACTTACTTTCACCATGCCTGGGTACGAACAAATTATGGAAATGATTAATAATTTTACGACAATACATATTAGCATCTTCACATATAGGTTTAGGTACGCTAATACGTGGCTGAGGATGTAATGCAGTCAGCCATTCGCAGTATACGTTAACGCAATCCTTGATGGTTTCATGCTCTTGCAGTGGTAGAGTTAAACCGAAACATATAACATCCATGCACCAGTTAACCTGAAGTAATAATCATTTAAGCACACGTATGTTATAAAAAAATATTCACTTTTACCTCTTCATCTTTAACCAAATGACTTGGTTCTGCATTTTGAGTTATTCCCAAATTTGAAGCTAACTGCTTAACTACTGAAACGGCAACTTCGCGACCAGCACTAGCTGGAAATTTATTCAATACACTATAACTTTGAGCTCCACAACTATTAGCAGTAATCTGGGTGGACAATGACACCCATTCTCCATACATTATTTCTTTTTTTATTATATGCTTTCAAAATACTTTTTAATTTTTTTTTTCTGTTTCATTCGCTTTCAGTTGCTAACAAACATTCAATCAATATTATTGTGAACATAAAATTTTATTAAGCACTAAGAGGTCAATCACTTGCTTGCAAAATTCTTGCCTCCTGTCAAAGAAATCCATTCAAAATTCCATTTTTAATATAATGGAATAGAAATTTTTCTCTATTGTTTTTGCAAACAAGAAAAAAAGGGAACTAAATCTCACCACACTTTCATTGGGCCACATATTACAAATTTGCATTCCTTAAGCGAATTGTTTTCCTCCACAATTTCAGCTAATTCCTTTTATTTTTCATATGTTTATTTATATTAATGCATATGTCAAGGAAAGCAATTGCTACAAAGTTAATATGTTCACAAGCACAATATTCGGTATTTCCCTTTTTTATTTATAATATATTTCTATCTTTTTGGTAATTTTTTACCCGATTCCAATTTTTCATCAAGCTCTTCGTACACTTATAAAATGGCAATTACAACGTGAACCGTGGTTTCCAGGCGTCTGAACCAATCGTTACCTTATTTTTCTTTAGTTAGAGAAGAGTGCTTTTTATATTTTTTCTGAATTTACAGAATTTCTTTTATTCAAATGTACAAAAAACATATAGTTTTACAATAAAAAACAATAATCTTCTTATATTACAATAAGAAAAGGCAGTACTGCCAGAATAAGATATTACTTGCTGCTGCTATTTATGATTATTTCAAGTGAAATTCGTTTGTGGACTTATGAAAAGGATTTTCCATTATAAGCCCTTTTTTTTCATCTAAATTGTCGCTTGTGAAGTTAAAATGAGGAAAGAATCTATTTAATAAATCTAACTAATTTGTTTTTTCTTTCTTAAGAAACAAAATGTGTAAAAGTTATTCATATATAGTAATATTATTTATTAAATTTATATTTATAATATAACATAAGATCGAATATTGAAAGCAATCAAGTGTGGAATAGATGTACTGGTTTCGCACGGTAGATGCAATTCAAAAAATATCCAAAGCGGTATATGGTAGATTTGTTGATTACCTAATTAATGTCTGTGATAAGCGATTTTAGCCTACAACTCTGCATTGATCTAAAAAAATAAAGATAGCTAGAAAATTACTATACGAAAATTATGATTTCAAAGAATTTTTAATCATTCTTAATTTAAACATATAGAATCAAACATTCCTTTCATATATTCATATATTCAAATCATATCCTATTTTTTTCTGTTGCTAGTCAGAATTAGATAAATGTTATAAGTGAATGCTGAATAGTGATTCGCTTGGCTTAAACACAAAATAAAAGCAAAAATAGCGATGTTTCTATTGTTGTCCTTCATTTAAGCTGCTGTTCTCGGCTTACCGTTCATTTTAAATGAATAAGGTAGAAAGTAAAAAAATGTTCAACTTTATTCCAAATTTATTTTTAATTCAAGTACAGAAAATGTCAACTAAAGTTAGTCAATTAGTATTAATTAAAACATAGCAGTATAACTTTTAATTTGATAAAGCGAAAAGAGCTGCATTAAAGAAGTGAGCTTATATCTATATACAACTGATTGTGAGGAATAAAATTAAAACGAAAACAGAAACATATTAACACTTTGCCCGGAATGCAATATATGGCTATATAATTAAATAATAGAGTCCCATTAAACGACGAAAACATGCAAAAACTTAGCGCTTTGTAAGCGGCAATGTCACTTTTATTTCAGTGCTTCAGTTTGGGTATGACAAAGGCATAGTCCAACCATTAAAAAATTGTTGATTTTATGATATATATAGAACTCGGCAGTTAGATTAGCTTGTACACTTTATTTAAATTTTTACTAAAGAACCTGAGCATATAAATGATAAAAGCAAATAGCGATAAATGATAAAAGCAAATAGTAATTTTCTATGTTTTACAAATAAAAAGCATTAGCAATAATTCACTGATAATGAAGAAAAGTAAATATATATATTTATAAATATACTAACAAATCAAACAAAAAGAAGGCTTTATAAGTAGAAGGGAAAAGTTCGATCTTCAAAGATATATTGAAGAAAAGTTAAGAAGAAAATTACAAAAGGAATTCTGCAGTACCATCATCAGCACTACTCTCTTGTCAACCCTCAATTAAATCCACCTTTACATCCAACAAATATTGAGAAAATCAAGATTCGAGAATTCGCCTTGGTCATACAATTGCAACTCCCCAATGGATCTTGAAAAACTCTTGCTCCCCAATCTGCAATTGTGAGCCACATATATAAACCACATTCTCTGCGACTGCCTTAACTTTACCTTGGCTAGAAGTCTTTCATTTGGAACAATTAGCTCTATGGACATTCTACAATCAGCTACAGAACACAATATCGATACAATATATTACTTCATCAAAACTACTAGACTCAATATCTAATGCACTTTTATAAATTAGAGCCGCGTTGCTAGTGCTCCATGTCTTTTTTTTTTAGTCTAAGAATTTATTTCATTAGTCTAAAATTATAATAATAATAGTAATAATAATAATAATAATATAAGTAGAATATATTTATAATACAGAATATATATATAATATAGCATTTGAACATATTTATGAAAAGAAAGCAATATATATAAAAGCATATCAGAATTTAGACAGCGAACGTCACGGATACTTTATTTCTACAACTAATCGCCTCAAATAGAAAGTCCCTAGAGAAATTTTAACTTTAACACTCATCCTACTTACATGCAATTGCTGAGAAGTAAAAAATACATTGTGAAACACTGCAAAAACATTTGCTAATGTTACCATTTTTGTTCATTTACAACCATCTTTAAATTCTTGCTTTAAAATAAGCGACTTCATTTCGATTTTGGAAAAGTTAATTTAAAACTACCCTTTGCTTACGCCAATGCATCAATGATTATTTCATGTAGTCTTGGAATAGGTGCATCTCTGTTGCATTATGTTTTAATTAGATTCGTTGCTACATATAATATGGTGTCATAACAATCATTCTTTTGTTGTATCAGCTGGTCCCAAATTATGGCAAAACAGCCTAACATTTAGATATCGATTAAAATTACTCCATTTTTTATTTCCTTTATTTAATAACGTTCTTAAGGACTGTTTCTCGGTTTATCTAATAGCACTGGAGCTTAAGTAGGTTTCCCAATCTTTTTTACACAGAATTAAATGAACGTTTTACTCCAGTTCTCCATTCTGAATACATCGAAATCTAGAAGCCTCCGTATCTAATAATACGTGGACTATTATCAAATTAATACAATTGAAAATTAATACATTTCACACGATATAGATGAACATAGGTAGTAGCAAAATAAAATTAAGAGGAAGACATATTAATATAATGAGCCGATACTGGAGCTTGCGTTAGTAATTTTCATGCTTTTGCTAAACCAAGCTCGCACAATTACAAAAGACAAAATTTGAGATCAAATTTAATACTTTAGGAAACAAACGTGATTCGAATTATTATGGCGTCTCCAGTAAAAGTTTAAATGAAGTGCATGCACACAGAAGCATTATCCGGCCATCAAAGCACTTTGGCGTTAAAGAACCTTTTCGCTTCGCAAAGAGCTTTAATTTTTAAATTCCCGTATATACATTTCGATGAGGGAAGCGACATTTGTGCTCATGTATATTAAGTAATGTAGTCGTTTCACGATGATGCTGCCGATGTTGAGTGCTTAAAAACTTATTTTATGCCACCACTTTCTTCCTTTTAATTTCTTATGATAAAGGGGTTTAAGAGTGTTTTTATCCGTTTTGTTTTATTAATTTTAATTAACGTACACATCTATCACCTAACGTAGTTGACATGCACATACATATGCAGAGAAAAAAACTATGCTTGAAAACATGTATACAAGTGGCTGGCGTGAATATTACAACTAAGCGAATTATTTGGATGTGGTTTTTACAAAAATACAGGTGTTTTCATGTATTTAACTAAAAAAAGTTAAATTTTATAAATAAAACTACAATAAATTGCTGATAAATCCTATCAACGAATTTTACATATTTTTTTTTTTTACAACACACAACAAACGAAGTCAAAACAAAGAAATGCGTTGAAACTTAATCCATTTTTTTGTCTATAACTGTTTTGTTATCATCTTTGGAAGCGTCTTTAATGGCTGCTCGATTGGTCGAGGTTTCCAGTTTCTTTTTGGCAGCTTCTTCAGCCATTTCGCCGGAGAAACCGAACTCGTTGACACGTTTAAAGTCGACACGATATTGCCAACGCTGATACAGGAACACAAAGAATATAATATCGTCACGGAAGCAACCCAATCTATACATGGTTGGCATTTTTATAACAAATGCGAATATGTCGTCGATAAATGTATTTAAAAATTTATAGGTCATCATACGCCAAGGCATATGGGCCACAGATTTCAATTTGTAATTAATAAATAACTGAGGCGTCATCATAATAAATCCAAAAGTCAACAAATAGCCATATAACATATTCAAAACAAATGAATACCAGCCCTTGTGCTCGTTATAAACAAGCGAATAAATGAAATAGCCTATCAGCAAAGGAAAGCAAACCCATCCCAAATATTTGAATGCTAAGTTATCGTATTCCTTGGTAGCACTTTCTGAATACGATCCTTTGTCCTTGAAAGAAATTCTAGGAAAAATTCCTAGCATTTTTTGATCGGTATTATAATTGACGTCAACCACTTTATGGATTTTCCATATTTCAATGGCAAGACCAAAGAAGCAAGTTATCCTTATCATAAAATTGGTCTCACTGTCCAATACATAAAGCAAGACAATTAAAGATTGAAGTACACCGAAGAAAACTGAACGTACCGATAAACCTTCTAAGGACTGGCGATTGTTCCAAAACTGTATATCATTCTTGAAAGCCAGCATTTCAAATATAGAATGCAATATAGAAACGGCTATTGTTAGACCAAAAAGGTAAATATTGGTTTCCAAGAGAGTCTCTTTTAACGAATCTTGATCTTCTTCGGCGTCCTGGAAAATTTTCAAGTTGAAAGCAAAAGATATATTTACAAATACTATGATTGGAAAATCGTTTTCTCACCTCCGCATTGCCACTTGCCATTAGTTCACCGAATATATTGCCAGTAAATTTGTTTTTCATTTGTTGCACAGCGTACAATTGCCATTTGAAACTGGTTAACGGCTGAAAGGATAAATGCAAGGGTAACTCGGGTGTGGTCTCGTTTATGGGATAATAGTCTCTTTGTAGGTTCCAGTAGTCATTGAGAAAAACGATCGGCAAATAGGTTTTTCCACTCTCTACAAATTTCACGAACTCATCCAATGGAGGAGGCACTGATCCTTTCGACCAATTTGTTTGGTCCACGACTACATTGACAGTGAGATTAGGATGCCAATGTGACACAATACTATCTTTAAGATTCGCTTGAGCTAATTCAAAGGCCAACTTCTCCTTTTCACTCGCTAATAAATTGTAATTACGATTCACTCGTACGCGTTTAAATTTATTCAATTGTCTTTGATGGTGACCCATTAAACCATTCCGGGGATAATTAGAAGAATTTGGATCCGGTGATTCACCGGATTTGGTAACAAACGCATGTAGGTATATACTACCATTATTCATTAACCTCGGTGTCGTCTTTAAGGATATACTGTGATGATAAGTACCGTCACCATTTGGACCGGACGACCAGTCGCCGTATATGAGATCTTCTTGAAACCATAACAAATTGGATGTTTGCTTAAAGTTCACCTCAAAAGGATCGTCAGAGAGCCAAACGTGCAAGTCAAATATAGTACCATTTTCAAAATAATTCCAAGCATGCATCGTGTGGCCAGGAGAAGCAGGACTTTTTTGGTTATTAGCTACCATAGGTGGTTGACTGCGCCTAAAGAACGTACTCACAAAATAGATAATCAAAGCCCGCAGAATTAGAGATTTAAGCATAGAAAAAAATGACTCCAATTTTGTGGGCTGCCTTTGTTGTAGCTGCTGGTCGCGCTGGTCAGCTCCAGAAGATACTTCCCCATTTGCCTGAACTACCTATTTAGATTTAAAAAACACGTAATTGTTTTAGCATAACCTGCTTAAAACGATAAAGTACCCAGAACTTTTCGTTACCTCGTTTCCGCCTGCTTCGCCTTCAGTTTGTAAATCTTGTGCTTCTGTTGCCATTTTTATGCAATACGAGTACTAATGTAACTATTTTTTTCCGCTTTAAAGCATGTCAATGATAAGATTTAGGAAAAATGCGATCTTTTCTTTCGATTTTCTTTGCTGCCGTTAAAAAAGTTTTATGAGACGTCCGTTGTTGTGTGTTAAATTTTAATGTTAGCGTACGTCCTGCAATTGGAATATAAAGCTTTTCTACTATCCTTTTCTGATTTTAATTGAAACAAATTTTCCTTTTCAATAAATTTATGAAAAAAATGATGTGTCCAAAAAAAATTTGACTATAAATTTCAACATGGTTGCCAAGAGCAAGATTTGATCTAAATTTGAGGGGATAAAACCGATCGTTAAGAATTCTTAAAATTTCTTATTTCTGTGTTTTCTTTTTCAATTGCATATTGCAAGTGATCATCCCATTCCATTGTGTATACCTAAAATACTTTTCTGATTGCCTTAGTCCACTTAATCTGAATAACAAAAAATATTTAAAAACTATATATAAATTCAATATAAATAATTGAAAAATGAAAGAAATTTGCGCAGTTTGTAATAAGGGTATGGGTCAATGAGATTTTATTTTTCCATTAGAGTATAAACATGTTAATAAATTTTTCTTATATTTTTTGTAAATTAAGATAATTCTTAAGAGTGTTGCCAGCTTTAAATCCTTGCTAACAAATTCTACCGTCAGGCGGTCAGTTATAAAAAAAAACATATTTTAACAAATGTATTTTTTAACTTTTGAGTGCAATATACAATAAAAAGTAGAAAAAAGTAGCTCTCCAAGCCTGAAATGTCAAAAAAGGATTATGTAGTTTGCACTTTGTAAATAGTAGCAATTTGGCTCTTACTCAGATACCGAAAAGAAAAATAAGAAAAAATTTCATATCTTCTGCAAATACTTTTTAATTTTGCTAAACACAAACCATTTAGATTCTTTTATGTTTTGTAATATCAATTAAGAAAATAATCATGGGACAAGGTTTATTCAGCAATACAAGAATTTTCCGTAGCTCGAAAAACATGTTTTTATTAAAAAATCGAGGATTCATTTATCTACACTGCACAAAAAAATTGTCAAACATGGCGAAAAAGAGTCAGCAGCGGTCTAAATCATGCAAACCAAATAGGAAACAAACTGAGTACGACGTGAAATTGAATCTTCTCACCAATTATATATTTAACAATTTGTCGAAAGGAAAAAATGAAAAATATACGAAAAGAGAGTGCGTTTATAAAGATGACCTACTCAATACGGAGGAAATTGGCACTGCGAAGAAACCGAACATGTCATTGATTGATAAAAAAGTTAACAGTAGACATCATATTGCCATTGATCCAGTGACGAAAACTACTAAGAAGATAAGTGGAAATATAATGCCTCCTCTAACTGGTAGTGGGTCGCAAATTTGGAATATAACAAAGGCCTACATTCTCAAATTGAGCAGCTATGCTATCGTACAAGAAATGGTAGAAAAGGTGCAAGAAAGGTGGAACTATAAATCAAAATGAAAACCAAATTTAACCATGTAATACGAAACTTGTTTTAAATTTATGTGAATTTGAAAAATTTTTGAAAATAAATTATTTTGAATTGGGTGAAGAAATTCAAAAACAATGTAGCCAAACGCGAAAATCATTTTGTTAACAAATAGAGAGGGAAATAAAAAAAAAAAAGAAATATTATGTTTGCGATCGGTGACCCTCTGAAACCCTTCTACAATTTGTAAGAATGACGCGCAATTTTAAGATTGATTAACAAATTATCTGCAAGTGATTGACCGGACGCAAAATCGTATCAAGGAGACTTATGTATTTAATGGGGAGTTTAGAGAACATTCGTAGGGAGTATAAACATAGGGATTTTCGTTAAATGTATTCGTTTGAAATTTTTCAAAATTAATTGAAAGTAACCTTTTTTGGTATTGTACTGCACTAGACATGCTTCCATATGCTAGATGAGCTAGCCATTTGTTTGGCATTGCCTGCCTCTACTTTTGATGAGTCTAAACTGAAAATGTTCACTATAAATAGAGGAAAATTTTTAGCCTAAGACAAAAAATAAAGTTAATTGTTCTGGAACGCTAATGCTTATAATAAACAAAAGTAAAAGAAGAGGGTCGCTCTCCTTCAGATGTGCATATATTTAAACACAGTAACAACGTATTTCGTCATTCTATGTAAATAATCATTCTTGAGGAAACTTATCGTAAAATTATCGTCACGTATTTAAAGTTGGTAACATTGTACGCATTATTAGATTTGGCAGCATTATACATAACAAAGACGTATCGCCATCTTGGAAAATTTCTTTTTTACTTCTAATTTGTATTTGTCTACACGTTTCCAAAAGTAAGTAACACAAAATTTGTTCTAATAATATTCAAATTTTTTTCGTCTTGTGGAGAAAATATTGAAGAAAATTTTGTGAAATTTTGTAGTAAAGATATAAATAACAAGCGTTATCGTGGAAATGTTAAACAATTGAAAGTATCAAAATTAGAAAGTAACCTCAAAAGATTAAAAAAATTTGACCGTAAAACTGATTTGATTGAATTTAATAAATCATTAATAACGTTTTTTCTTCATTTTTAGAATATAAAAA